CTAGGGAGGGGTAAGTGGAAGGAGGTGAGGGAGGAATGGGGTACGAGCCTCTGATGGGGAGGACTGGGCTGGCTCTGTGGGCTTCTGGGGGTGGAAGCTCTCCTGCAGCCCCCCAATTGCTCCCTCGGCCCAGATGGCAGCCTGTGGCAAGTGCAGCCGGGCTGATGGCCGAGTGCTATGATGTTCCCAGTGTGGACACTCAGGGCACTCCAAGCCAGGACTGCTTTGCAAGCAGGGCACCCCTGAGAACTGTCTGTCTGGGGTGGGGGTCGGGACCCTTTAAGCACAGCCCTCGGCTAACCCGAGGCAGCAGCTCCACGCTCTAAGTCCTCCTTAGAGGTTCAGGGTCTGCTAACTGGGTGCTGGCAGGCTTGCACCTGGCACGGGCACTGTAGCCAGCCCTTGCCCCTTTAAGGGCTCCGGGGCCGGGAGGGGGGCATACGAGTTTCCCTGGTGTTGGCCAGAGTGACCACCAGGGAAAGCTGGGGAGGGCTAGCCTCCCACTAGTTCGAATTAAGGGGCTACACAGCCCTTAATTCAAACTAGTAAATTCGAACTAGGCTTAGTCCTCGTAAAATGAAGTTTACCTAGTTCGAACTAAGTGCTCCGCTAGTTCGAATTAAGTTCGAACTAGTGGAGCGCTAGTGTAGCACCTATCAAAGTTAATTCGAACTAACGTCTGTTAGTTCGAATTAACTTTGTAGTGTAGACATACCCCTACTCAGTCCATCTTGAGCTGTTGCTGAGCCTCAGCAGTAAACCTTTTCCTGTGGTCCACCAAAATGGTAGGGAAGACTGAAGCTGCTCTATTGAAGTCATACAAAAATCTGATGAGAACCAGATTGAATCGCTCTTGGCAGGTAGGTACTTGTTCTTGTTAGCAGGAACAGGGGTTATTTGAAGTAACATTCTGTGAAACATCGCCGGAAGCAATTGAAAAAAATAATTTCATCTCTCTGCAATGACCTACCCACAATTGATCCCTTAACTCCTTAGTAATTTAGCAGATTCATTTATTTAATTCTTTTACTTTTCCCGATATATTTAAATAATTTTAGAGGGTTTTTTTTATATCTTTGACTATTTGCTCTTTAGATTTCCACATTACATTTCACATGCCATAGCTTACTCTCCTTTCTATTGGCTTCACTTGGGCTTTATTTCCATTTTCTGAAGGGTACCTCTGAGGCTTAAATAACCTCTTGAACGTTTCTGTTTAACCATATCAGGTCTGTTTTTGTCTTACATTGATTCCCGGCTGCATTTAAAGTCTTTAAATTGTTTTCATTGTGAACAATTCATGTGGTTATAATGATAAACTCTGAGATCAATACCATTGAGCTTGGCTTGGTTCTCACCTGCACCAGTTTTAGACTTGTGTATCTTCATCAGCTTCACTGGAAATATTCTTGGTTCTCTTAGCATACTTAAAAACAGAATCAGATTCACTGACAGTGTTGAATCAAATTTGCAAAATTATAAAAACATGCACTTGAGTGAATATCTTTGATTTTACAGGGTGAACCTCTCTAGTCCAGTACTCTGTGCTCTGGCAACATCCATGGCCTGGCATGATTTTAGTTAGATGGATCTCTACCAAGTTCCCCTTTGGTCCCACAGGGTTTGTTTATAGCCACCAGTCCTGGCTCTGTGTTCTGTGCTGTTATTTAGCTCTAATTTACCCCTAAATGTCTTCTAAAAGCCCAGTAAGCAGTGGAACTGTTAATGCTGCTAGACAGTATTGACCTTCTGTGGTTCAGCAACAGTCAGGACACGGCACCGGTCAAGTCCTGCGGGTGCTGGACTAGAATGGTTCAATCGGTAGTACAGCATCAGATGTAAGGCACATGCTGTACAAGGGAGAATATTAGAATAGGAGATGATTCCATGTAATGGCAGTGCCTTTGGGGTTCTTTTAGTTACATTATGTTGCTCTCGTGTATTTCCTTACGTTCCTTCATTGAGAAAAATGGTCTCATTGTCTAGTCTTTTCTATAATGATGCATATGGGAAGATACTCTTTTTAGAGCAAAGCGATGGTAAGTTAATAGATCAGACTTGCCAGGTGCTTTTTCTGGTTGCTTTCGGAAAGATAATGGATTTTGGCACAACTATTATATGTAATTTGTTTCAGCATAAATGCAAAACAGATCCTGTCAGAAAAAATCAATTGTAGATGTTTAGTACTTAATGGAAACCTTGGTGGGAAATACTTTGAGAATACTTCATGTTTGTATTGCAAAGTTTATTTTGTGTTTGCATATAAATAACTACAAATTCCGACAGGTAATGTGATTCACTTGCCATCCTCAGTCACTATTAATGTTTCTTCTTTTTCTCTCTTTTCATCTTTTCAGAAGTAACAGTTTATTCAGTGAAGTTGTGCAGATGAACTTTGAAATAGCCAGTTTCAGCAGTCTTTCCGGAACTCAGCCAATCACATGGCAAGTGGAATACCCTCGGAAGGGGACAACAGACATAGCCCTCTCTGAAATCTTCATCTGCCAGAAGGACCTGGTAGGGATAGTTCCACTGGCAATGGTAAGAGATTCTCTGGAAAGCATGGTGATCTGTCCCATCTTTAAATGACTGTCGCTCTGGGAAGGTACTAAACAGCCTTTGAGACCGATTGGCAAAGGGTAGTCTCTGTCCAATAAATTATTAGGGAAGAAATCCTTTTTGGGATCAGGATGGCTCTACCACACCTTGATATAATACTGTTCTCTCTATGTGATGGAATCTTTGTTGATATCAGGTGCATATCTTTTTAATAGGCACAATAAATGCTTACTACAATTACATGTGCATGTACTTGTGAGTGCAAATCACAACTAACTGCCCACACACACACTCAAAAAAAGATTCTGCCCCTTTTAAAAGATCTGGCCCTTGCTCTTTAAACCTGAAGTTCCCCTGTTTTAAACCATTCATTCCCAGCTCCTTCTAGGCTACCAGTTGGTAACAGAAGCAAATATACATGTGGTCACTTTTTAATTTCTTCATTAAGTGCTATAAAGTTTGATCATAGGAAGATTAGAACAGCCATACTGAGTCAGACCAAAGGTCCTGCTAGCCCAGTATCCTGTCCTCTGACAGTGGCCAATACCAGGTGACCCACAGCGAACAAGCAGAACAGGTAAGCATCATGTGATCCCTCCCCTTCACCCATTCCAAGCTTTTGGCAAACAGAGGCTAGGTGATTCTGATCATGTCTTGGAGGCTGCAAATCATGTTAATAAATAAGTGTTGAAAATGCTCAGCATTTACAGGATGAAAACCATATTAATTAGTTGGCTCTTCCCTAAGAGCACTTTGGTTTTAGGGAGAGAACAGAAAGAATCTTTAAAAGAAAGAAAAGGCCTTTGGTCCATTTGGGAAATCACTGTAAATGAGTCTATTCCGATCAGATTTTGCTTGAATATCCTACCTTTTCTAGGGAATTTTCTCCTCTAGTTTATTTTTTTTAAACCTACTCCCACTGAAGTCAATGTGTTCATGAACTGGAGCAGCTTGAATGATATTCATATAAAAACAAGATGTTTACCAACGTTACAGGACCAGCACAGATTTTAACACTGAAAGATACTTTCTGTTCATGGTTTTGTGGGTAAAATGCTGGCCCTCTTTTATTTACTATATTGTTATGTGATTTTGCCTTTAATTTCATAATATTGTCATGTGCTAGATAATTGGGGAAGAATTATAGTTTGTGATGAGTATGGCACTATTCAGCTTATACCCTCTGGCAGTAGAACTCCTATCAATGTCCTGTGGAGATTTGCTCATGTAGAGCTGAAGTTCACTGAAGTAAGTAGAGAGTTGTGTGCTACAGCACTGGTCTGTGAGAGAAATTTTACCTTTGATTACCTCTACAGCTAAATCTAGAATCATAGAATGCTAGAACTGGAAGGGATCTCGAGAGATCATCAAGTCCTCTCCTCATGGCAGGACTAAGCCCTGTCTAGATTAGGTGTCAGCAACCTACAGCACATGTGCCACTCATGGCATGCAAGCTGATTTTCAGTGGCACACAGGGCAGCCCCGCCCATTCTTCCCCATGCAACAGAGAGCCTGAACTGCCCTTTGAGCCTTATGGCGAGCAGGCAGCTGCAGCACCAGCCCCGGGGGTGGGAGGGCATGCAGAGAGGCTGCAGATTGGGCTGTGTGCCAACCAGTGGTCAGTGCTCTCCCACTTTTCCACCCGCCCAAGTGCCGTGAGCTGGTGGAAGAAGGTGAGGTGCTGCTGGTAGTGGTGAGAATATGGGGGCTCAGCTGAGCAAGCTCCTCCAGCAGCTAGGGCTTGGGACACATGGGCTGCTCCTCCGGCAGCAGGGCTGGGACCAGGGTGGGTTGCTGCTCCTGGGATGCCAGAGCTGAGGCTTGGAACATATAGCTGCTCCTCCAGTAGCAGCCTGGCAAGTGAGCTGGGGCTGGGGGCAGCACGCATGTGCTTGCTCAGCAGCAGTGTTGTGCTGTGGCAGCCTGATGGGGGCAGCATGCCAGGGATGCAGCAACCCAGCTGGGGCAAGGGCAGTCCAGGGCTACCATGCGGGCATGCTGGTTGGAGCAGCAGTTATGGCAGCAGGGAAGGGGCAATTACATTGCCAAACCAGCAGCAGGGCCAAAGGAACCAGCAGCAGGGAGGGGTGGCAGGCTGAGGGGGCCATTGGCAGAGAACCATAGTTCCCACTAAGCTACATGACCCCGCAGCTGTTTACTGAGCTCCACTCAGGAGTTCAAAGCTCACTCACAGGCAGGGAGCTCAGCTGATCAGGGCCGAGGTGTTGTCTTGCTGAACAAGCAGCTAAAGGGAGCTGTTCCATGCTTAAAATGTAGCATAAGGAGATAAATAGAGACTAAGTGGTTAGGCAGGAGTAAGGGGAGTGACCGAGTGGTTAAGTGGGTAATTGGGAAGACTATTTCCCCTTAGCTCTTAGCAGAAGGAAAAATGTTTCCACCCAGAAATCTTTCTTAGTCCTGGCTGCAAACTGGTCCCTCTCCCTATCACTTCCTGTACCTTCTTTTGCCCTCTGCATGAATGGGCTGTTTGGCATTTTAATCCTCCCCAGTGCATTCTAATCCACTAAGTGGACAGTCAGGTGTATAGGAGGCAAGAAGGAGGAGAGCACAGGAGGCAGACAAACCTGGACCTGCCCTGGCCAGGAGAAATGTTTCCCCCCCTCAGCTGTGCTCACTGGAGCCACAACAGTAATGAAGAAGTGCTTGTCACCTGGCTCCAACCTGCTGTAGTAAGAGAGGGCTGAGGGAGTCTTCTCTCCCTAGGGCAGCCTGCATCCTGAACCCCATATCCCTAACTCCACTCCAGAGGAATTATTTTAATGAAGCATGGACATTTTCATTTTTTTTTCCACAAAACAAGAATTAATTGAATTAAAGGCCAAAGCAATGCCAATCTTAGAGTACTGCAATAAATATGTAAAGCCTTAAGGAGATACTTAAGAGAGTGTCTTTAGCTCAGATTCTGGCCTTAGATTCACTCGATGACTTCCAACAAAGTGACATGAGTCTATCTTCTGGCAGAATTTACCATTCCCCGTCTATATTTGTAAAGAATTCATTGCTTTCATTCATTGTATATTTCTTGTCTGATCTATTTTTATACGTCATCTACATAGTAGCCCAATGTCTGTGAGTCTGTAACGCTGTAGCGTTATAGTCTTGCCTCTGGGGAGCGCTCTTGCCTCCCGCCGTGGCGCTCAGCTAAGTACTGCGCCACTCAGCTGGGCCGTGACGGGGGAGCAAGCAGCAGCAAACGGCCATTTGGGGTCCGCACTCCCCATGCAGCACTGTGCTACATGGGGAACGCGGACCCCAAACAGCCTCTTGCTGCCGCA